TTTTTTTTTTTTTTTTTTTTTTTTTTTTTGTTATGGGTTTGTAGCTTTTAATACAAGAACATGTAAACCAGCTTTTTTTCTTAGTGAATTAAATCTCATCTTGCAATGCAAAATTTCAGTGTCACTAAAGTTCTTTCTGTGTGGGGGTTGGATATATTAGAATATCATAAATTGGGGTTAGAATGATTGAGGGTAACTTTCTATATTTGGTTGGAAAATATGTGATTTCCCCATTATTAGGTTGCCATACCCCATATCCCCCATTATAGTGCCTGGTTCGGTAATTCTTTTGATAATATATACAACATAGGATGCTTCACCATAAATGATCCAGGGCTAGAGGACTATGACCAGTTGTCAATTGAATAGGTGTGATAGTAGTGTGGTGGTACTGTCACCAAAGGTATCTTAGTATAAATAAGAGTTTGAGACTTTAGATTAAAGTTTTAATGTTTGTATTTTAAGATTGGTTAAAAGAAATTTATACAAAAAAAAAGAGTTATTTTCTCATATGTATAACTCATATATGAGATGAAATAGTAGCTCCAAAGTGGGATTATATTGATAATTCTTGAGTTCAAAAAAATTTATAAAATTTCAAAAATAGTCATGACAATCACATATTATCTAGAGTTAGTTTTAAAATCACATATGAAAGGAAATACTTTTTGATTTAATGCTGTGCAGGGCCATTCAACTTTGAAGCAGGAAAAACACCTGGATCTCTGCCCACATTGCATCTCAATCCATACAGTTGGTCAAAGGTTAAATAATTAAGATAAGAAAAAAAATCTCTTAATCTTATTAATTTTCTCAATTTGTTTTAATTAATTGTTCATTATTAACATATATATTTTCAGGTTTCAAACATTATTTACTTGGATTCTCCAGCTGGAGCTGGACTCTCTTACTCCACAAACACAAGTGATTATGTCACTGGAGACTACCAAACTGCAGCTGATACACACGCCTTCCTTCTCAAGGTATGACCCAACAATTTTCAAAATTCATATATTAGTTTTGAATTTGCTTTAATATATGTTTTTATGAAGTTATCAACAAGGAAAATTAGTTTAACCAACTCTCTGACTCGAGCTTAGTGGTTCGAACTATACCCGGAATTCGTCAACAATCCATTTTACATCTCCGGAGAATCTTATGCTGGAATTTATGTTCCTACTCTTGCTTCTGAAGTGGTGAAAGGTACTTTAATTAATAGCTTAATTAATATTATGTTTTGTCTTAGTGTTTTTTCTCAACAGCTTTGGAATGTATTTGCCTTCTCTCTTTATGTTTATATTGAAAATTTGGATTAAATATAATAAAAACTGTTGTGCAATTTGAACTATATAACATGGAGTTGTAAATATAATGAGTCACCTTATCTATTTGAATTCAACTTTGCATGATTTAGGTCCCATTTTGTCGGATTTTTTTTTTTTTTTTTGTAAGCACACAATTCACGTGTGTGACTTTGTAATGATAAAACAAAGTACAAATTTGTTCTTTCATTATTAGGAATCCAAGGTGGTGCAAAACCTACAATCAATTTCAAGGTATGTATATATGTTATCTTCGAAGAAGGATTAATTTTGGTATAGTAAATTAGGATTTAATGAGATTATTTGGTGCAGGGTTATATGATAGGGAATGGAGTCACAGATCCACGATATGATGGGAATGCTCTTGTCCCATTTGCACATGGAATGGGCCTTATTTCAGATGATATTTTTGAGGTGGGTGAAGTATCATCTTTAATTGGTCCCCATTTAATTTTGCAAAACAAGGCAATTTGACCCTTCAATCTTTTCTTATGACTGGTTGAGTCTCTCACTTAATAGTAAAGCCCATGTAGGTGCTAATTTAGACATTTACATATTATTTTAAAGCAAGTTATAGAAATCAAAGTACACAAAAAAACTAAGGACCTAATTGAAAAGTAGAAAAAAGTAGAGGAGAAATGTGATATTTGACCATAAACCTATCAATCATGCAGGAGGTTACTACCGCTTGTAGAGAAAACTATAATACGCCGTCGGAGAGCTGTGATGCAGCATTTATTAAAGTTGACAAGGTGAGATGTGTGTGTGCGTGTGTTTTTTTTCTTATAAAAATTCTATTCTTAAATAATTAAAGTGTAAAGTAATTTGTGCCCAATTTAAGAAAATCAATCACAACTCTAAGACTTGAATATGAAAATATTGTCAGTAAAACTTCCTACTAGTACACAAATTGTTGTAATTTATTAAATTTTAACGTATCATCACTCATTTTGCTGATTTTAGGCTCTTGAAGGCCTTAACATTTATGACACTCTAGAACCATGCTACCATGATCCGGCAATGCAAAGCAACACAAATTTGCCGACAAGCTTCCAACAATTGGGAACCACAGAAAGGCCTCTTGGAGTCAGAAAGAGAATGTTTGGTCGTGTTTGGCCTTTCCGGGCAATGGTTCCTGACGGCCTTGTCACCCCCTGGCCTGAACTTCTCCAAAAAAAGAGTGTTCCGTGCACTGTAAGGGACCTCATTCATCTCTTTTTGCATTTGGCAATGGTGGGTGTATATAATTAGGAATGGAAATCAAATCCAATTCACCTTGTTTCAGAATGATGAAGTTGCAACGGCTTGGCTGAACGATCCAGCAGTCAGGGATGCAATTCATGCAAAACCGGTAAACCTCTCAATCCAGGCTCAAATTTGATTACTTGGTTTCGAATCTTGATCTCAAACTATTGTTGTGTTTTAACATAAAACAGGTTTCTGTATCCGGACCGTGGGAGTTATGTACGAGCAGGGTGCAGTTTACTCATGATGCCGGCAGCATGATTCCTTACCATTTTAACCTTACAGCTCTGGGATATCGAGCACTCATATACAGGTAATTGCATGCAAACTGCAGGTGTGGTTATCTGGATTGGATGGCTTTGGGGGGCAAGATTGAGTGGTCACTCGTGGATTTGCATGTTTTATTGTTGTGTCGACTTCATGTTTGTTGTATTGCCTGACTCAACATATTTACCTATTTTGGATCTTTATGGGTCACGGGTTTACTGCTGTTTTGTCTGTCCAGTGGAGACCATGATATGTGCGTGCCATTCACTGGGAGCCAAGCATGGACAAGATCTATTGGATACAATGTAATAGATGAATGGAGGCCTTGGTTGTCTACTGGCCAAGTTGCTGGGTAAATCATTCTAACACAATTACAAAGCTATGTTAAAATATCTTATTACAGAGCTTGTTATTTTATTCCAATAAAGCAATAGCTTTTGTTTTTCTAAGAGAGCTTGTTATTCCTGCAGGTACTTGCAAGGATACTCTCACAACCTCACCTTCCTAACTATCAAGGTATATGAGAAAATTCTATCTGTTGTTACTTTGCCTTAGCTTTTTGAGGAAATGCAATTTATTTCAAGAAAAATAATCAAAGCATCCAACTTCTAAATCAAAGAGTGAAAAAGGTCTCCTAATTTTGCACTCTGAATATCATTTTGCAATGATTAAATCTCAATTTTAGTTCCTAAACTTTTAGTTTTAAACATTTTTAATCCCTAAAGTATTTTTTACATTTTTTCCCAAAACCATCAAAAACACATTTTTTTAATCCTTATATCAGTTTATCTGCTAAATCAATTCATATATGCATGTTTTTCTTTTCTTTTCTTTTTTTCCCAAACTATGAAAAATAAACTTTTTTAGTACTTTCATCAGTTAATTTGTTAAGTTAATTCATATGTGTACATTTTTAGTCTCTAAGCTTACAAGTTGAGGGACTAGTTGAGGACTAAAAATGTACATATATTAAAGGGTTTTTCTATTCTATGCATTAAATACAAATATTGATTTTAATTTAATCAATTAGTAAATCAAATCTATCCACTTGGCAATGATATTAAAATAAAGGTCAAATTTTGTATTTTTTATATAAATTAATTATAAAAATATGCATTTATTATGTTCTAAGGGTGTTGATAAAAAAAAATTATGTCCTAAGGGTATAAATTAAATAAACCTTGTATTATAAGTTTAGGAACTAAAATTGTGTATTTAGATAAACTTAATAGATTAAGTGATAAAAAGGTTAAAAAAATGCATTATTCATAGTTCAAAAACTAAAAAAGTGCAAAAATAGTTTAAGGACTAAAAATGTTTAAAATTGAAAGTTTAAGGACTCAAATTATTTAAAATTAAAAGCTTAAGGGCTAAAATTGGCATTTAACCTTTTGCAATTAGCCATTCACTCGGAATTTAACCTGTCTAGAAAATTACCAAGGGTGCGTTGGGTTTGGCCAATTTATTATTTTATAATTTTTCCCTTAAATAGTAGGTTAAGGTGTTAGAATCATCAATTTATAAATTGATTTCAAAGTGACATCAATTATTCTATCAAATATTTCTAACAATTAAACCAAATAAAGTTTAAACTAGTTTGGAAATTGATAAGAGTCCCACCAAACCCTTAAAAATGAAACAAAAGTACGTTAGCTTACCTTGTTAAATGTCTAGATTATTTTCTTGCTTGTAGGGTGCCGGACACACGGTCCCTGAGTACAAACCCCGGGAAGCATTAGACTTCTACAGACGCTGGTTGGATGGAGAAAGAATATGACAATAGGATCAGGGAGATTAGTTTCTTTTTAATCTGAAATAGGTCTGTAAAAAATGAAAAGCAATCCGCTTCCCAGAAAATTGTAAAGTAATTATTCTTATCAGAGCACAAGCAATTTCACCAAAGGGTGTGTTCATTAAGATGCAGAAGCCGATTGGTCTTTGGTCTCCCCAGATTTTATCATTTGTGCAGCATTCAGAATAATATTAAGTTGGTTTGCAATGAAATTGATTGAAGTGTATGTTACTTGTTATTAACTTTCCAGGGCTGCTGATGTTATTAACCTCCTATTGCATAATACGTGTGCTATCAAGTCTAGTTGAAATTTTGAAGCAACAGCAAAATTTTTCTCCCTTGATGTATCTACCTTCTGTTAAATTACTCCTAGTCTACCAACCCGACAGGTTACGGATAAAACTTCTTTAACTCGTGAGTTTCTTTCACCCAATCTGTTTTGACCCGTGACACAAACCTGTTTTGACCCGTAACCAAGCTAGAGTCATAACCCAACTGGGTATCAACGTTACGTAACTTGGTACGTGTCAAGTTGAAAACATGACTTCCGAGAATTTTACTCCCAGAAAAGTACAAGACAGAGCATTCCAAGGTTAGACTGAAACATTTAGGCGCCGTTTAGTATATTTGGCATGGTTGT